CCCGAGTGGCAGGCATTAATGTGACAAAACAAGAACATCCCTCGCAGGCAGCCCTGGCCCTGGGTTATATATCATCTCCTGGGCTTTGCGGCTGGCACTGAGTAAACAGCGCAGGCAAATGGGCTCCATGCAGGTTGATTAAGCGCCTGGTGTAGGTGAAAGTGGAGGAAGGGACAGAGGAAGGGACACAGGACTCCCCCTCCCACACCCCATCACCAGAGTCCCGAGCCCCCATTGAAGCAGTGGTCAGAATAAAACCACCTCTACCCCCCTTCCCCAGAGGTTATCTACTTTTTGGTGTCTGCTGTCTCTGTTGGTTGTGACAGTGACACTACCACATATCTGTACCCCTTTTCTTGGAAGTCTGGGTTTTTGCCTCAGCTCGTGTTATCCTTCCAAAGTATGTCAGCGAAGCTTCAGGATCCTTGTCTCCAAGAACAGCCGAGGATGAGCCTGTTTGTTCTCCTAACAGTTCATGGTGTATTCAATACTCTTTTCCACCACCACAGCTCAAAGGCATCAGTTCTCCTATCTTCCTTATTCATTGTCCGGCTTTCTGATGCATATCAAGTAATTGCAGACTATAGCTGGGTTTAGGGCTGTTGTACATAGGGTCTCTATGAGTTGCAGGTGACTTGACAGCACTTCACAACATCCTGGTGTCCGTGAGAGACAGGTGTAACGTCACCTCTCTTCAGAGGGGGCAGCAGGTCTGGCTCCAATGAGAGGCGGGCACAGCTCACTGGCAACAAGGCAGGTGCACTGGGGCTGCCACCTCATTGAGAAATGGTCACCATGGTAATTGGGTGAGGACATGGGGGGGGGTGTTCCCCTGAGTCAGCCCAGTCCTTTCCCCCAGGAAGGAAGCTGTCATTTTCCTGAGCTGCCTGTTGGCATGGTCTCCCGTTCGAGGCTGAGGCCTCCCGATGGCTCTGGGACCGCCATCATGGAGTAATGACAGGCTGCCATGGAGCTGGCTGGCTAGGGAGGGATGAGAGCCCTTGGCGTCTCAGACACAACGCTTCAGGCTGTCTGGGGAAAGCTGGGGAACAGAAGTGCGGCTCGACGTCCTCTTCCCCAGACTGGCAAGAAATTGGATTAGACACTGATGCTGCAATCTTCTCACCAATACCTTTCCCCAGCGTCCTCCTGCCAGCTTCTTGTAACACGTGGGTGGCTCCTAATCCACTTGTCTAAGGTGAAGGCTTCTGGGGTGGGCTGCCCCGGGAAGCAGCTGCCAGCAGATGGTACTGCAGGTGGGGCCCACTACTCCCAAGGGGCGGCCGGATGCTATAAAGCATGGTCAAACAAACTCCACAAGCAAAGGCAGCAGAGCTCTCCAAAATTAAAATACAGGGGAATGTTGGTGATTCTAACCCCATTTAACAGAGGCTGGGATGTCCTAGTGGGTAAGGAGCTGTGCTGGCAACCTGAAGGCATGTGGTTCGAATCCACTAGCTGCTCTGTGGGAGAAGGACGAGCCGTTTCCTCACGTGTGATTTAGACTCTGAAACCCACTGTAAGGTCAGCTCTGACTTGACCTTAACCACCAGCACCACCGTCACTGTTGGGTCCAGGAGGGGTGGGGCTGTCTCTAAAATAAGTGGGTAGGGGAGTTAACTGCCTGGACAGCTGAACGTAACAAGCGCTGGCTCAGACTTTGAGACCCGTTTCCAATCACTGCCTAGCCAGTCTTCCTTTAAGAAACATTATTCCCATTTATCAAATTAAAAGAATTTAATCAGTTACTAATTCCACTGTTTAAAGCGAACCATGTTTAGGAAATTTGCTCAGAGTTTTGCTTTTACGTCTTCACGTATTTCTTTGCTATGTAATGCAGGCATTTTGGAAGAACTGGCTAGCTCTCAGTTGTGACATGCGTGGCAGACCCTAGGGTCCAGTCAGCATGGGCTTCTGGTTTTAGGCTACTGTATTTTGTGAGGGACACACAACACATACACATAGAAGTGTCTTAAAGTAGATCTGTCTTAATAAAGTACTTTTGTTCATTAAAAACAATAAAATTCCAATATAAATTTGAACAAATTCTTTCAATTTGGTTGAATTTGTATTAGAATTTTGTAAATAAACTAATGAAAAGAAAAAAGTCAACTTGGGGAGGGGGAAGGGTGGGAGAGGGGGTAAAATGTACAATGAATGAATGAAAATCTAACTTTTCTGTAAGCTTTTGTTAAAATGACAATTAAAATAAAAATTTTTTATTTTTTTTAAAAAAAGTGCCTGAAGACATGTAACAAAAAGCAACAATAAAATCCACAGTAAGTTCCGCATTAGTGCTTCTCAGCTTCAGCATCACAAGCTAATGCTACGTGGCTTCAGGGCGGGGCTGTGCCTTATCCGTTGTGCATCCAGCACACTCCCAGGTGGCTCTGAGCACCTGGACTCTGAAGGGGCTTAGTTTTCAGGTTGAGAACTAAGGACAGGAAATAGGGCCTGAGCCTTTCAGGGAGAGGGGAGATCTAAGGAGCACGAATAAGAGATGCTGTTATCACACCTGGAAAGACGTGGCATTGCAGCCCTGGAAAATAAGGAAATGGGGCACCCACTCCCCAAGAGGCAGCCCCACCACTGGGCAATGAATAAACTTAGGAAGCCTCAAGACAAATTGTTTTACAGCTTAGAATTTTTATTAAAACAATCATTTAAATTACAACAATCCCCGGGATAGAAAAGACCCTCCTGTGACGTGGCCCTGACAGGCTGTGCCCAGGCTCCCTGGGAAGCAGGTCCGTGTGTGACAGCTCCCTGGAAAGCCACCAGAGCAGGGTCTGGCCACAGGGCAGTCAGGAGGGGCTGTCTCGGCTGGCATTACCCCCCATGTCAGTGAGGAACACTTAGTCACAGTGGCTGGCTGTCAGCCTCTGGACTGACTGTTTTGAAAAGAAAAAGAGAGAAAAAAAGAAGAAAAAAGCCTGTCCCTAAGATTACAAAAGACAATCACTCAAAAAGTGTTATGCAGTGCCATGTAGTGTTATCTACCAGGGCCTGCTGGACACAGGAATAATTGAGGGGAGACTACAGACCTCTGTGGCTGAGGTGAGGTGAGGCCTCGTCAGGAGGAAGGCGGTGAGCAGCCTCACCAAGGAGTGTTGCTGGGCAGTGACTTCAGGAATGACACCAGGCCAGGGCACTGCTCTCGACAGACCTCTCAGGCTTCCTACTTGACAGGTTCCAATGTCCTAAACATGCTCACATACAGAAAACAAGTTACCTCAGCCACAGGCACAAGTCTTTGTATTTTCTCACCTTCCACTGGGGCTTGAGATCCACCAGTCACCTTAATAATTTTTGGTGGGAGGATGGAGAACTGACAGAGCTGGTCATGCAGACCCTCTTGGGGCTCTGGGCTGAAGGCGCTTTTGCGTGGCTCAGACGCCAGCCAGCTCCCTTGTGGCCAGACGACTTGGCACTTCACACACACACACACACACACACACACACACACACACACACACACACTTAAATAAAAATAAAGCTCGACAATGTTTCTATAAACCACCACCATGCTCTCATGCCCTGCAGCCACTGTTAAAAGATTAAATTTACAGGCCAGGAGGAAACTAACTTTGGGTGAAGACCCAGGTATGAATTTTAGTCTTGAGCAGACAGAGCCAGGCCACACACTTTATAAACACCCGAGCTTCGGTGACCGAGGATGTCCCTGGCTGCGAGCAGGCCCTGAGCCACCCTGGGTACACATACAGAATCCCATTTCCATGTCCTCGGGGAGCTGAAGGAGCACAGGGGACAAGTCTGGCTGCTTCTGTGTAAGACAGGCCAAGGGGGCCTCGGACACTGCTAGGCCCATTCAACTCCATGAGCATCTCACAACCGAATGGAACGGCTGGTGACCCCCTACTGCTCTCGGGGCGCTCCAGGCCCTCACAAGCCTTCCTTTAACAAGTATCTTCCCATGTGCACTGCACAAGAGCCCAACCAGAGGGACTAAAATAGCTCTGGTTGGCCACAGCAGCAATGCCAGCCATGGAGAATAGACAGAGTAAGAAGGTGGCCTCGAACCCAGGAGCAACTGAGTCATCGGAGTGGTTTACAAGCAGCCACTACCCCAGCAAGGGAGGGTCACGTGGCAGCAGGCTGGGTACTGACCATCCTTAGCAGCTCTACAGGGTGAAGACCTGTGAGGAGTTTCCTTAAAGATTACGGCCGAGAAAACCCTGCAGGCCTGTTCTGTCACCAGCAGTCGGGATTGACTGGCCAGCACCTAACGACAGGGACAAAGGCAACAGCAAAGTGAGGTGTGGCCAGGGGACAGGAGATTCAGCAGCAGCTTCCTGCCAGGAGAGAGGCCAGAGGAAGGCTGGCTGGGCTCCTGGGTCAGCGAGAAGTGCTGAGGGCCCTCGGCTCGATGGGCCCCCCAGGTACATGGCAGGGAGACTTCCAGACAGCACAGGCAGGGGACACCGCGGCTGAACGGGGCCTAGAAACCGCACGCGGCTCCTGCTGCCTCTCGGCTGCAGGTCTGGGGGTGGCAGGAGGAGAGCAGCGACTGTGTTGGGTGCAGGTCCCCATGCGGACGCCTCGCTGCTTCCTAGTTACTCTGCTGGCAGTCTGCCCCCAGCACAGTTCCTGCCTAACTTCTTTCCCCAGATAGAGCTGCCTTTCCCACTCCCAACCAGCTCACAATCAGTGCCCTTCCATGTGGAGCCTGGGCTCAAGGACTTTTCACATGTCAGGACCCCAGGCCGGTCACTGTCACCATGTAGCTGGCAGGCCTTTGTGGGTCTGGGCTCAGTGGCCTCCGGCTTCGTCGCTGCATGACAGTTCTTTGTCTGCAGAGAGGAGCACCCTGTGACCCATAGGGGCTTGGGGGTGGCAGTGCAAGCCTTTCCCACTTCCACGAGGCTTCTGCACCTCACCATCTCTATTACTTCCCAGACAGGGTCAAGAGGACAGCCCTGGACAGTAAATAAGACACATGCCAGAGTGCCTTTGACAAAGAAAGCTTAAGATCCCACGTTGGAAGACAAACACCTCTTAAAAAAAAGTTTCAGGTCAGGAGAACTAGAAGCCCGTGAGAGAAGTCTCTCTGCAGGGTCGCAGTTCAGAGCAATTGCACATGAAATGGTCTGGGCTCTGCACTCTGGTGGGGAAAGTTCTAGAGCTTCCCAACCAATGGGAATTCCCAAGCAGCCCACCGATGGTGGGTCCCCATGGCGTCTGCCCCATCCCATGGTGCCGATGCCGGGAGCAGGTCCTGGGTGGCGTCACCTGCTACAGCTCTTCAAAGAAGGCCACTCGGGACTTGGCACTCTGCAGAGTGAGCTGCAAAGAAGCAGAGGAGACATTGAGGAGACTCAGTTTCTGCTCTTTCACCCCAGCACCCCATCCTGCCTGTGGAGTACCTCCAAGAGTGTCTCAGAGGGACAGATGCTCAGGAAGGGGTGGTCAGGCCCCCAAGAAGCTTCCAGAGTTGCTCAAGAACTCAAACTAGAGGTGTCAAATGAGGAGCATGCTGGGGAGGAGGGCTGGTGTGCAAAAGCATGTTGGTGGCAAAATGTCATCACCATGCCTTGTCACAGAGGACGGGCGTCCTGGATGTCTCCTACACTCTCGCGGCCCTGTCTTGGGAGCCCCTGCAGAGCGGTATCGGTGTGGTGGACTGTCACTGGACACAGAAGGGCTGGCAGCAGCGAGCCAGGCCTCACACCCTCAGAGCATCATTGCAGGGAGAGCGTGCCCCTCTTTGTCCTCCTGGTTTCCCAGAAGGCCCCAGACCAGGCCTTCCTTCAACCAGCAGTTGAGACAGGCTAAGCAGGGCTGGTGCAGGCAGAGGACAGGTTCTATCCAGAAAACACCAGCGCTCTCAATCTTGTTTCCAGATGAACAACAATATACTGAGGAGGTTGGGTGGTGGGGAGAGACACAGGAGCGCACTGGAATGTGGGGTCTGGGTGGGGCCCAGGAATACGCACTGGAGGCTGTGATCCTCTAGACAGATGAACCCTAATTCTGAAAGCAGCTCCCAGGGTCCCCCAAGCCAAGCTATCCTTGTCCCCATGTTCAGGGGTTCCAGCAGTTCCCAATAGGGGTTCCTGGAGGACAGGGGGCATATGCAGTGTGAATATGACATAGCCTTCACTGAAGTGAAGGGGGACGTGACAGTACCCGAGGGAAAGTTGGGGTCCCACTCTGTTGCAGTAGCTGTGCAGCCTCAGGGCCACCGTCTCCGCACCCTTCTTTTCTGGGGTGAGATTTGGGGGAGGGCTGTCTACGTGGTCTGGCCTGCTCCTTCCACCTCCAGCAGCCCCAGAATCTTGAAAGTCCCTGGGACCATCTGCAGCTCTCCCCAGGGCGGGGGAGGAAGACGCAAACCAGCCACTTCACCATCAAAAGACAGGCGGCATTAGTGCTCGGAATGAGACAGCTTGAGAGCGACGCTTTAAATCCTGCCAAAGCTTTTGGCCTTGAAGTTCCTGACTAACAAGCTGAGTGCGGGGAGGCGGCTGGGCTGTTTTCGTCAGTGGAACTGGTTTCAGAGGCCCTTCGGAAAAGACCAGTTCTGGTGAGGACGGAGAGAGCGTTTCATTTATCTGACAAGGAACTCCCTCCGGAAGGGAGCCGGGCTGGGATAGGTTTCTCCCCAAATGATCAAAAGGGAAGGGCTAGAAATGGTGTGCCTTTGACACCAGGAGCGGGATGGTGACTGGAGCGAGATTTGGGGATTCGGGATTCAGTTGTCAGGGAATCCAGTGCTGGGACAGAATCCTCTTTGAATCAATTGTGCTGGGTCATGACCCCAGTGCTGTTCAGGACCCAGCTTTCCCCTAGGATACCTAGCACTGGCTGTGGGGCCCCAGGCAGGTGTCCGTCCCTCACCATCAAGGGGAACAATGGCAGCCCTTCCTCACAGGGTGCTGTGTGGGTTAACCGGGAATCGCATGTAGCTTTTTGCAGGCCTGGCACACGCTGAGCACGCGACAGCTGTCATTGCTAATCACACGGCGTGCTTTCTCCCCCTCCCTGAGCACCAGCTCCTCTCCTTCAGCAAGGGGCAGGGCAGGGGGCCAATGGGAAAGCAGCAACGGGTGCAAGTGAAGGCCAGCTCTTGCACAGTGCTGGCCTTGTGGCCACCACGACAGGATAAGGAGACGCCGCTGTGTGGTCTGGCAACCTCACCAGGAAAGGCGCCCAGGCCTGTGGGGACCTCAGAGAACCTCCTGCCCATTTGCACAGCAATGGCTCCAAGAATTCCTGGATCCGTGAGCGGAGGAGCTTGTCTGGCTGTACCCCTGAGGTGCCAGGCGAGGATTCTGTCAGCTCTTGCTGCACCAGATTGCACTTACTCCGGCATGTGTTGGTTGGGATGCACAGTGCTCCCGGGGCTGGGTGGGGGGGATGCTTCCCAGCTCTCACCCCACCTGGTACCGGTACCTCTTATCCTGCAAGAGCTGAAGTTCTACCTTGGCCCTAAAGACAGCCACTGAGGCATGTCAAATGCTCTTGATGCAGGAGGAGGAAAGGTGAGCAGACGCATGGGAGAGGGGACATGAGCTTCCAAAGGGGCTGGGCTGTCAGAGGGAGAGGTATAGCCCCAGAGGGCAGACGCCTGAGCCTGGGGTGTTTGGAGCCACCTGTTGCCCTCACTGGGCTGTGCCCTCTGGCCTGCACCTTTTATCTCTCTATTCTGTCCCTGGTGGTTCAAGTCCCTTAGAGTGCCAGGGTCCCACGAAAACCACCACGTAGGTTCCTGGATCACTGCAGAGGCATCATGACCTCAGGCTACTTCAATTTCAGGCATGTCCTTTATCTCCGACATCAAAATTCCCACCTCCTGGAATCTGCGCTCCCTTGAGTCTTACACCAGATAGCACCCGCCAGAGCTGCAGAGCAGGTCAGAGAGGGGAAGCCTTCTCTCCTTCTGCTCAGATCACAGGTGTCAGAGGCCCATTATCTGCTTTTTCAAAGAGGGTCTGGAGATCCCCCTCATCATGTGCAAACTTCCTTCCCTGCCTCTTCACACCCCCGATGGGCAGGCCCCATTCTAAAAAGCTCCCCCACTGTCACATATACAGCCCGACTACAGGCAGGAGGTATTCATGAAAGAAAGAGGGGAGGCTTATAGGAAACAGGACAAAAGTTGCTCTTCATAAAACAGACTCTGTCTCTATGGGTCATCTTTATATACTCGTGAGAATCCTCTAACAGCAGCCTCCCAGCCTCCCCCAGACTCTCATAACCCAGGGCGTGCAGGTTCATGTCAGGCTGGTCATTCTTCTGGGACTGTGTGACTCTCTCTGTACCACAAAGAGGCACCTTTGCTTCTAGAGCCAGAAAGTTCCATGGGGGACCTCAATGAAGGCCCTGCGGACCAAGAACTGAAGCCAGTCACCTGAGTCCCACATTGCAAACAAAGCTGTTGCACCTCCCTGGCCACATAGCGTGCCCCCTCCATCCACAGCCTCACCTGCCTGGGGGGCGGGCAGCATCTGGAGGAAGGAGGGGAATGCCTCTAAAGTACTGGTGCCTTGTTCACATCGAGAAGGTTCTCCAGGATGAGCTCACTGGATTTCAGGAGGTGGTGAAGTGGAAGAGCCTCAGGATGTGAATCTACACCAACCAGCGGCATCAAAGACAAGGGGGCCTGCCAAGTTTGACCACTTGGGGATGGTCCTTGGCAGGTCAGGCGGGTGAACCTGTCCAAATGTGACCAGTGACTGAAGCTGCCATGTGCTGTCCTTCAAAATGCACAGCTGAGTTCATGATCCCTAGTCGATCTCCTTCGCGGGGGCTGTGAACCCCAAAGGCAGATTGTGCCCAAGCCACCAGCCCCAGCACTCGTGCCAGTTCTTTAAAGATGACTAAAGAACACTAAGTTTCCTCACCAGGTACTGGGCTGACCCTCTCGCTCTTCCAGCTGATTAAAATCAGCCGTGTGAATAATACAGGAGGAATTAAGTCCTCTCTTGACTGAACCGGCTGTTCAAGTCTGTCACTAATCCAATTCCATCCTGAGGAGACAACGGTCTTTTTTTTGTGCTGCAGATATAGATGCATTGTTTTCTCCTTCCCGACAAGGGTCTGATCCACCTGTTGGGACCTGGCGCCTCCTTCCCACCCGGTGCCAACAGACACAGGCCTGGCAGAGGCTCGCTCTCCCCTGCCCATTCTCCCCATGTACCTACTAGTTATTGGTGACAGCCACCAGGCTGTAAAAGGGCAGGAGGGGGGGCCACTTGGCAGGCTTTCTCGAGTGATCCAAACTGCATGTGGCATGACAAAAATGGAAATATCCACGAAGCAAGCTCTGGTTCAGACACACAGGTGGCTGGCTCCTCGAAGCCCTACAATAGACCTCCTATCCTCAGATTCTCCATAACTCAAGCACGCTCCTGTTCACTGGGTGAGAATCTCAGGCAGCCCAACCTGGCACCTGCTCAGTCTCGAGATATGGCCCCAGGGCCTGGAGACTGTGAGCCTGTAAGTCATCTATGACAAACACCAGGCTCATCCCTCCAGGAGGCAGTGAGAGGCTTCCAGCTACTGAGGCTCCTCCAGTATCGTTCCCAGGAGTGCCCCCTGCTGGAAAAACACCGCGAGGCTGGCACCGCACTGCCAGCTTCCAGCTCTCCTCCAAAAGTCCTTTTGGGGGATTCGCTTCCCAAAGTGATGGGAGGCTAACTCAATGTATTCCGGCACAAAGCCTGCAGCAGTAAGACTGCTTGATTAAGAATGAATTACACTTTCATCAGCACATAGAGAAAATTGATTCACAAGGCCGCATTGTGACAATCTTGTTCCTATAGCAAAAGGGGGTGGTGTGTGTGTGGGGGGTGTGGGCAGGACACAGGGCCACTTCAGCTATCAATGGAAGGGGAAAGCAAGCTTGATAATTAAGCTGGAAGAACAGAAGTAATCAGAGCACCAGGATTCCTCCATCTGGCCTCGAGGGGCTTCACCTCAATCCACTCTGAGGAGAAAGGCAGGTGGGGGGGCACTTTAATTCATTTTTAATAATAAGACCCAATTGCTGAACCCATTTTAAACGCTAACCTAATAACTCCAGGCGCTGAGATGCTGCTTGTCCCATAAAAAAATGCGGTGGAATTGAAATACAAGCCTTTAAATCAAGCTATCCTTCCTCTTGGCCACTACATACTGAAAATTAAGGGTGCAGGGGAGGGTGGAGATGCAAAACAACATGCAGGTTCTAGTACCGTGAGCCACCAGAAGAAAGCCAGCACTGGAAAAGAAGTGGGGACAGCCCCGCCCAGCAGCAAGGATTCCAGCACATAGGAAATCCAAGGGGTGGGCTACTGAGGGGG